GGCTTTCTATCCTCCTCTTCAACCTCAGCCTTGGCGTCCTCATCCTCAAAGAGCTTGTTTGGGGCCCACTCATCTGACCGAAGAAAGCGTCGCTGCTTCTCGGAGAAAAGGGATACATTGTCCAAAATGAGTCCTTGCCATGGCAAGTATCAAACAACCCAACTAGACGAACAACAATGTCCACAGCAACAGGACCAAATAAAAAACAAAAAAAATCCGCCGAGGTTCCCCTTAACCTCTGGCTGTTTCTGGTTGGCATGGTCGCGCAAAATTTACGATTCGAAACCTCAGTTCGCAAGAAAGAGCGGACAAGCACCCCGAGCAACAGCTCCCGATACCCGGCTGAGAAGGAGCACAACATGGGCTCACAACAGCGGCTTAAAGCGCAGGTTCTGGGAACCGCTGCAAACAAGGGAAGCACCACTAGTAGAACACAAGTGTCCACAAACATCTACAAAGTAAGAGGGGCGCCGTCCCACAAGGACACGTTGAGGAAGGACGATACATTGCTGGACCCGCAGTCGGGCAGGGCGCAGCACAGAAAGGAACGGGGTTGGTAGAGTACAAAATGCTGAGCATCTGCCTCAGGCAGATGTCAACAGACAGAGGAAAATGCTAATCATCTGCCACAGTGGGCAGGGATGAGGAGGCATAGGTGGTCCAGGCAGGTTGGAGACGGTTCCACGTGCTTCTGCATTGAGCGATGTCTTTCCAGGGTGCAGCCCAAAAGTGTTGGTTGACGAATGAACTTTTGGATAGTTCGGTACAGCCCTGTAGGTGGGAACCTTCCAGGGTGTATGTGTGTGTGCCCCTTGAAGTCACAGGGATCCACTCGGATTGTACTGATTGTGCTCTTCGCTTTTTAGCAGGGGGCAGTAGTCCACTCATGAGTCTACTGCCAACGAAGCTGCTCATGAGTTGGGAAGATATCGGAGCTGATCACTCCGACGTACCTGCAGTTTTACCGGAGAATTTTCATCATGGGCCCTGCTTGTAGCTAGAACAAGCCATCCAGCCTTTGCATCGTCTCATCATCGGCAGATGTGCATTGTCGCCTTGGATGTGTCGATTTGGAGTTGGAGGCCATGTAGGCTTTGAGAGGTTTGGAACACCATACTTTACCTGTCCTGGTTTCTTAGGTTTTTCACTTAGGCTGGCGTGTGGCACCGCATTCACATCAGTACGCGTTTCTATAAGTGCGTCTGGCTTCATGCCAGCCCAGGGTGACCCCGAAGAGTGGCCCCTGTGGACCCGTTGAACGGGCGTTGGTCGAACGTACCCCCTGCCCGGATACAGAGCAGCTCGCAGCGAGCGTAGGTGGCCTAGGCCGAGAGTACTCAGATTTGTTGACTTCTTGAATTCGAAGCTGGCTCATGCCTTTACGCGACCGCAGCGGTCTAAGCAGCCAGCCACTTTGGCAGGGCACAAGGTGACCACAGAGATCGAAGTATTTTTGAGGTTCGTTGGAACCTGCTGGAGCCTTAGAGTGATGAGATGATGCTATCGGACAACTTGGACTTCCACTCACGGCCTACCAGACCTTTCGTGAGATTCACCGTTTCTCGTAGGGTTCTTTTCACCTCTCCCACCTTGGTCCGGAGGCTAGAAGAAAAGAATGCCTCCCTTCGGGGAGGCGTGTGTGTGTGTGTGTGCCCCTTGAAGTCACAGGGATCCACTTGGATTGTACTGATTGTGCTTTTCGTTTTTTAGCAGGGGGCAGTAGTCCACTCATGAGTCTACTGCCAACGAAGCTGCTCATGAGTTGGGAGGATATCGGAGCTGATCACTCCGACGTACCTGCAGCTGTACCGGATAAATTTCATCATGGGCCCTGCTTGTAGCTAGAACAAGCCATCCAGCCTTTGCATCGGCTCATCATCGGCAGATGTGCATTGTCGCTTTGGATGTGTCGATTTGGAGTTGGACGCCATGTCGGCTTTGAGAGGTTTGGAACACCATACTTTACCTGTCCTGGTTTCTTAGGTTTTTCACTTAGAGTGGCGTGTGGCACAGCATTCACATCAGTACGCATTTCTATAAGTGTGTCTGGCTTCATGCCAGCCCAGAGTGACCCCGAAGAGTGGCCCCTGTGGACCCGTTGAACGGGTGTTAGTCGAACGTACCCCCTGCCCGGATACAGAGCAGCTCGCAGCGAGCGTAGGTGGCCTGGGCTGAGAGTACTCAGATTTGTTGACTTCTTGAATTCGAAGTTGGCTCATGCCTTTACGCGACCGCAGCGGTCTAAGCAGCCAGCCACTTTGGCAGGGCACAAGGTGACCACAGAGATCGAAGTATTTTTAAGGTTCGTTGGAACCTGCTGGAGCCTTAGAGTGATGAGATGATGCTATCGGACAACTTGGACTTCCACTCACGGCCTACCAGACCTTTCGTGAGATTCACGGTTTCTGTCCCAAAGTACCTCAAACAGGGCATCCCACTTGAGATTGTCGAAGGCTTTCTCGATGTCAGCCTTGAAGATGATGCAGGGCGCATGCCATTCAGATGTCTTGTGGATGGTGTGTTGGACGGCGGCGCAAGCGTCAAGCAATTGGGCCCCAGGCAGGCCACAGCGCTGGGGCCGCCACTGTAGTGTGGAATATGGGAAACAAGGCGGGCAAGCAGCATACGGGTCCAGAGTTTGGAGAAGGTGGGAAGGAGGCCAATTGGGCGGGTCTGGGACCACTTTAGGGGTTGGGCGGTTTTGGGAAGGAGTGCGAGTAGGGAGCCGTGCCAGGATGCTGGTGGTTGGAGGTGGGGCACGGCCCGGTTGAAAACGAACACCGGCATGATGGCATATGGCTTGCCGATACCATCCTCACCGGAAGTTTTGTCCGGCTTCAACTTGGAGACGACTTGGCACAACTCAGTGTCGGTGAAGTGTGTGAAGTAGCCCTGGAAGGTGGCATGCTTGGCTGCGTCATGGAGTCGACAGGCACGGGCGCAAACGGATCACTGCAGAACTGCTGCTGGAGCCGTGACTTCAAGGCGGCCTTGGCTGCGGCTTCGGACGGAAACTGGGAGCACAGTGTGAGGAGTTATTCAATATTCGGAAAGGGCAGTCCAGGAACCATTAGCAGCTCTCTGGAGCAAGTCACTGGTCCAGGCCTGTGCATGCCGACGTTCAGAAAGGAAACAAAGGTGAAGGATTGACATGGATTGACATGGGTGGCATTTGAAGGGTGTCTCGCGATCTCTGCATCATGTTGATTTCTGGTGTGTGTGTGTGTCCCACCCTGGACAAAGGGTCTTTCACCACCACTCTTTC